TCTTCCAGTAACCAGCCTTGTAAAGCATCTGGATTCTAAATAGCACCAGCTACATGAGAGTGCTCTGGGATGTAGGAATGGTGACAACTGCCAGGGAAGATCCAGGAAGTAGTAACAGTGATCATTGATCACTTGGACATTAGTTAATTGGAGCACCTTCATATGGATGAATTCTACATCCTTGTGATACAGGCCTCTCACTGCCATGTGTATAGAGTTGATAGTACCCTGCACCTGGGGGAAGCCAGCTATGTTTCCAAATCTTGCTTCCCAGGCTGCAGCACTGACCACGTCATTGGGAATCAAAATGAACCGGTGTGATCTCACACAGATAGTCTCAGTCACTGTCCTGATGGATTTGTGGCACTGAGGGATCCTATGCAGGTCTTCTGTTGCTATCTGGAAGAAACCAGACACATAGAATTTCAAAGCGGCATTTACCTTTGTAGACACAGTGGCTTACTGGTTAGCACTGCTGCCTCACAGTATCAGGGACCTGGGTTCGATTCCACCCTCAGGCGACTGTCTGTTTGCACATTCTCCTTGTGTTTGTGTGGGTTTCCTCCCGCAGTCCAAAGATGTGCAGGCTAGGTGGATTGGCCATGCAAAATTGCCCATAGTGTTCAGGGATGTGTCAATTAGGTGGGTTTTGGAGGGATGGGTCAAGGTGAGATGTTCTGAGGGGCGGTGTGGACTTGTCAGGCTGAAGGGCCTGTTTCCACACTGTCGGGATTCTATGACACCAGGAGAGGATGGTTTCCTGTTTTTGCAGCCCCAGCTCCCACTATAGCATCTGGTATAGTTTGTCACAGTGTCCGAGGCCATATGGATACTAATATTGCTCCCTGCTCATGCCCAGGTCATCCTGTAGATGCGGTGCACCGTGAAGGGCCTCTGGCTGTTAGCCCTTGTGCCCCCTCAGCCTTGGATGGTGGCCTGCTGCTGTTCCTGGACTCACCATCAGTCCTGGTCCTCTTGCCTCTGCCTTGATCTTCTTAGGAAGGCAGCTACAGAGCCCAACATCCCACTAGTGGCTGGGTGGATGACTCTTGCTAGCAATGATCTACGTTGGAAACATGAGGAGCAAAACAAGTCCTTGGCTGTGAGAACAGTCAGTGATAGCAGACCCTGCAGATGAGGGCTGTGTACACTCCCCCAAACAGTGAGACATGCTGCATGCTGGTAATGAGGGTCATGCTTCCATCATTCATTCAGCTTCAGCCTTAGCATGTGTACCAACTTGGTAAAGGTGCTGCATCGACTGAGTGACCAACGTGTTATGTCAAAATGAAAGTGGCCAATGCACTCTGACCCTCTTAACCTTCCCTTCCTAGATCCGCATCAACTGAGAATTATATTACAGCATTCAGTAGAGTCTATCATAATACCTAGATGACAGAAAATTAAGTGATTGCAGGTGAGACATTTATGGTTGCTTTTGGAGATAGTAGGAACTGCAAATGCTGGAGAATCCGAGATAACAAGGTGCAGAGCTGGATGAACACAGCAGGCCAACCAGCATCAGAGGAGCAGGAAGGCTGACGTTTCGGGCCTAGACCCTTCATCGGAAATGGGGGAGGGGAAGGGGTTTCTGAAATAAATAGGGAGAGAGGGGGAGGCGGATAGAAGATGGATAGAGGAGAAGATAGGTGGAGAGGGGACAGACAGGTCAAAGAGGCGGGGATGGAGCCAGTAAAGGTGAGTGTAGGTGGGGAGGTAGGGAGGAGATAGGTCAGTCCAGGGAGGACGGACAGGTCAAGGGGGCAGGATGAG